CATTAAATTTCCGGTTAGCTGGAAAAAAAATCCATTTTTCATTACGTCCGCCGTACCTGTACTACAAAAAGGTGTTAAATAAATAAATAAATATCCCTTTGGTACACTGTCGCTATAAGTACAGTCAGTCAGAAATTTTAGCGAAATGTCATTGTGACTGGACTTTATAATCGTTAGCAATATACGAGTATTTTGAACAATTCTTTAGAGTTCTGAGGTTGGTCACGACCTAAATTTGGTCTAACGGAAATACTTATTGAATCAATTCGAACTTATAGAAACACTTTTAGATCCCACATGGTTCTTAAGTATGTCCTATATTTGCATTATGTCCTATATGGAGAATAGAGGAGGTAAAAAGCAGTTGGAATTTCTATCTCTCGTTTAATTACTTGTATTATTATATAATAGTTATAATTTTCATGTTCGCGGATTAGTTTTAGTTGTGTTAAACGAGTAGCAGGTTACGGCGTTACGTTTTTAGTGTGATTTTCACTTGAATGCTATTTTCCGTCGCTCAAGCGTTAAAGAACATTTTTTAAGCGCACATTTTGCCAACCGATTAACAAAAAATAAGAAAGAAAGAAAAAGCATGTTTTTCAAATAATGACAAAATATTACATTGGTATGTCCACAATTAAGTATGTTAAGCGTGCTGCTGCTATATCATGGTTGTAGCATGAATAAGTCAGCCCGACCAGGGAAGGACCACGCACCCACATATTACCAGAGTAAAAAAAAGCTTAGTGCTGTGTTTCGCATGGTGAGAGAACCGGAAATCTTTTGTACTGGAAACGAGACATTCCATCTTAGTTCTGAGGGGTGACAAGGCATCTGCATTTTGATTCTTAATCGAAGACATTTGTAAACGTCTATGCGACACAGCATTCACTTACCATCAGGTGAACTGTGCGATGGCTTGTTACCCTTATTCCACACTAACTTGTGAGCCACTTGCAGTCAAAGTTGTCTTGTAATTACGTTGTTTATTGGCGAAGCGGTACCTTGTAGTGGTGGTGTAGAATACCCACTACCGCATGTCACTCCGTGGGTGTCGTCAGAAGCGACAGAGAAAACAAAAGAAGATAAGCAGGAACGTCGCCCTAACAATAACTTGATATATAAAAAACTGCGGTTACCAACCGACTTGCGACTTGACACGTGAGATAATATAGGAGAGGCTTATGTTTTACAGTGGACTTAAAAGGCTATAATATACAATGTATTATTACATTTACGATATTAGCGGAATATTTATGCATACTCTGAACTAGAAAATAACGAAAAATTTATTTATTTATTTACACAAAATGCTATTGATTTTCATAATGCAAAACCTTATATTGCCTGTTCCGATTAATTAAACGCTTATTCGTAAATGCGGCTGCCCCTAGTCACCTTCTTGCACACAAACGTTCCTGCTCAGTATCACGTTGCATATTTTAGCAGTCACGTAACGACCTCTTCAATTAAAACCTTTCGCTCGCTGCACTCAGTGACACGTACGTAAATATTTTACTTTCAAGTGTGTTCACGTGTTCACACACCCGCAGTCCGCAATAAACTCTTCATAGTTAGTGGACGCAGTTAAAAAGTACGAGTACCGTTTATAGCGGAAGCGACTAAGTGTAAATATTACTCTTTTGGATTTTGCAAACTTGTTAAAATAAAAGATATTTCGTTCCACTTAAAAATTTGTGGCTTCTGAAAGCCATGTACATTTACGCAAAATTAAGAAAAGAAAACTTCAAAAGCGTAAGTTAACAGCAGAATCGTAGAAGCTGTAATTAAACTGGCTCTCTATACTCTGACTAAGACTATTAAACTAGCACACGGAACTGCAAACACTTTTCTGCAGAAATGGGTAAGTAGGTGAAGTCTACCCTGACGAACATACTACATGCATACATAAACACCGCGCCTATTATTCAGAAGTAAAAGAGTAGACAGAGGCGTGCCAAATGGATGTCCGTAGGAGGTACGTTTGGCACGATCCCGACACAGCTCTCTCGCTTCTTTCAAGTCCATACTCCTTGCAACGTGCTCGTTGGTCAAAGGTACTATCAATTTGGCCCAGCTTCAATGCATCACCGATATTTTCAATAAGTTTCCACTCGTCGCTCTATATGCTTGTCATATCTACCATCCTGCTAAATACACATTCTAAATACGCAAACTCATTCAATTGCTCAACCAACTCCTCTTCTATTCTTATTTCACATATTGTTTAACTTGCTTCTCTTTCAGAATCCATCACTTTTCTTACTTGCATTAATTTTCAATTCTCATCTGCAAATCGATTGCCGACAACACAAATATGAATTGATCATCGGCGTAGAAGAAACATTTGACTGGCAATCACCCATTCGTGACCCGCATTCTTCAACTTTCAAAGTTTCTAAACAACTGTCCATAAATAGTCTGATTAGCCAAGGGAAAGCTAACCAAATCTGCCTGACACCGTTGTGATGTCGAACTAGTCCAAGTAGGCCCCGTTGATTCCTGATCCCATAAGGCCAGACGGAAAAACGGAACAAGAAGATCTATCCAAGTAATTTCCATAAACTGAAACTGAAACTCTAACAAGGCAGGGAACAGCTGACTTAAAAAAAACTACAAATAATAATATAATTTCCACATAATATCTTCAGAACTTGAGGCTTTAATTCCACACACTAGATCCTTAGCACTCGATTCTAAAAAAAAATATCCTCGTATTTTTTTGAAGTAGCCTTATACTTTTACAAAAAGGCAATTTTTTTAAATGTATTGGTTAGTGGTTACATAAATATAAAAACGAAGTAAAATAGATTTAAAATACAGCTTTAAAATATAGCTCTAGCACCTGAGACGGTGTATTATGATATTTATATGTGACGAGTAGTTTTTTAGATAAGAACTTAGAAGATTTCACAGAATATCTCACTCTTTATAGTGTGTAGTTATAATTTCCTCTAAGTAGAGGTGGAACCTTTTTTATAGCAGAGTAGGCAAACCAGCACACGGCTTACCTAATGTTAAGTGATTACCGCCGCCTATGAACAACTGCAACACCAGGGGAATTGTAGAGGCGTTGCCGGCCTTTTAAAAGCGAGTAGGCTCTTTTCTTTAAGGTCCCTAAAACGGTCCGAAAAAATATGTAGTAGTATATGGTAATACATGACTACCATCCCTCAATATAGTTAGTTGGCGTAGGTTATATGATGACACAAGTGCTAGGGTAGCAAGTTTTATAATAAAAAAATACGTGTGGCACTCGGTGACTGCCGCGGTAAAGCTATCGCATAGCATTTTTTATCAACTTATGCAATTATAATTATTTATTTATTTTATTTATGCAGTTAAGTCTTTGATATTAAATCAAGTTACACTTTTTGAGCGTGGTGACCGATAAGAAAACAATTTTTTTTCTCTTATTGAATAAATGAGAAGTTAATATTGTTTAAAATATTTTTAATATCTTACAATACATGTAGGTTATTCAGGAATTTTTATCATTGAGTTAGCAGCTAGTGTACACGCATACGTCTAGTCGCACGCACACAAACACCGTGCCGAAGTCTGCCCAGTGCCGAAGTCTGCCGAACTAAAACGACGTTAGACGATGCACGGCTTTCAACGCCACACCTCCGTGCCCGTAGGAGTGGGGAGCGTGAGGTTTTTTCGTTACGGAATTTCTGGATTCGGTCCCCGCGCTCAAGGCCCGCGATAGAAGCTATGCAATAGCTTAAAAAATCGTATGTAAAATAATAGTTATTTTCCTACAGTATAATGCAAAGAACTTGTAGGTGTCTTCGCTGCATAGAGGACTTGTGAAGGAAAAGTGGACTAATGACGATTATAATGATAAATTACTTCATTGTTATCAATCTCAATACAAAGAATAATGCTTTGTTTCGTATGATAAGTGTCGAGAACTGGTGACTTTTTATAATAATGAGACATTTTTGAGGCACTATGATATATGTCTACTACCGAAGTTTTTTCTTTTTTGGAAGCTCAGTGACCAAATTGGCAAAATATTGAAGACGGGCTAAATTAAGAGCACCCGAACGAGTTGTATGAGCAGACATATGGATGGGAAGGTGGTGATAGAGGTGTGTCAGAATTGTGACTAATGAAAGTCTATAGCTTCTGTGTACCCCTGTGGATGACAAGGTTGAGTGTTAATGCTAATGTTAATGTATGTATGTATGTATAAAAGAAAACACGAAAGTAAAACGAAAGCAGACACTTACCCTGTGGTGGAAACGCAAAAGTATCCATCACCTCTCATTCCCGTCCATAGGTGCTGAAGAGGCGACTATGGAATTTCCAGAATGATAATTTGGTATTCGATAGATGTCGTTATAACAACCGTAAAATAATAATAATAATAAAAAAAAAAGACGTAGGGAAGTAACGACCCCATCGCCCGCTGACGTAACAGTTATGTGACAAAACTGCGACGTCGGCGCAGTCAGTCAGCATCCTGCCAAGAGGTGTGAGCGCCGTGCCTAGGCAAAATTGTAGATGCAAAGGTCCGTTTGTGCATATGACCCAACCACGAAACGGTGCCGGGCTTGGGCGTCTCCCGTTATTTGGCGCCCATAAAATGGATGATGGATAAAACACAAAAAGGAACGCGCATAGGGCCGCTGCCTGGGGGTCGCCGGGGCGCGTCTGGAGCTGGCGCTGGACGCGGCAGCATGCGGGCCACCAGCCGAGCGCGAGGAGCTGCACGATCACCTAGCAGCCCCTCGCATCCATCATCCCCACCGAAGGCTTGGTGTCGGCTGGGTCTTCTCGAACCCAGCAAGCGGCACCCGCCGCTGGTGGAGCACGTCGCATGCGTTGGACAAAATCCATCAACGAAAACGCATTGCGGGCGTACTATAGGGCGAACGGGGAAGAAACTGTGGGAATAGCGTATAGGTCTCGGATGCATTGCTTTTTTTGCTGAGCTGGAGCCGTCTATCCCCGTTACGGAACAAAACCTGGCAGACCAAGTTCAGTACATTATGCGCTCGAAAATATTTGATGATGCCGAACTCGAACGACTACGACGTGAGACTATTCCGTCGTCGAATGAATCAGCTATGGCTGGAGATGCAGCTCCACATTCGACAGACCAGCATCCACACGTGGAAGCCGCCATGGATCTTCCAGTTGTGGTTGATTCGAACGACGATGAAATAGTCTCCCACGAACTAGAGCAAATGAGGAGTATATTGGAAGAGGCGATTTTGAAAACGCGCAGCACCCCTCTCGAAAATCGACCGCGACTTCCCCGCATACCCTTAAGCAAGCGAAATCGGGCTGTCGTGAGGGCTCTTAACCCAATGCTGGTGACCTATTTGGAAGCCAGCCGGGACCTTTGCGAGACGGACTCGATTCTCTTTGGCGCCGCAGTGGCAGTTTGCCGTATTATTGGCGCCAAACTTCCCACGGTTGGACGCGCTACTACAAAAACTAACGCCATCCCAGCCTGGAGGAAAAGAATCGAGGACCGTATCGCAAAGGCAAGGGCCCTTATCGGCAGACTGACAAGCTTCAGGTCGGGTAATAATAGACCGAGGATTATGCGCACCGTTAGGATGGCGTTTGCTGGGACAAATATCAGTTTGTCCCAGCCGGATATCACGCAGAAACTAACGGAGCGCATAGACAACCTGAAGCAAAAGATCGCTGCTTGGGGGAAGCGGATTCGACGATTTTCCGAGGGGTCAAGGCGGTTCAACCAGAATCGTCTCTTCCAGAGTGATCAGAAGAGGCTCTATAAATTATTGGAGCGACCAAAGGTATGTGGAGCGGGCCAAGGACCGGATCAAGCTGACATTATCGCATTCTGGCGTGGCCTGTGGTCAGAGCCCGTAAACCACAGTGAGGGCCCTTGGATGGAAGTTGTGGCGAGCCAGGGTGTGAGTGTTACGCCTATGGACCCCATCACCATAACGCCAGAAGACGTGGCTGAGGCGGTCCGTAGGGCCCCGAACTGGAAAAGTCCGGGGCTCGACGGGCTGCATCATTACTGGCTGAAGGGGTTCGTAGTGTGTCACGCTGTGCTCGCCCGACAGTTTCAAGAGGCTCTCGACCAGAAGTCACTCCCGAGCCTCTTCACTACTGGGATCACTCACTTGGTTCCTAAAGATTAGGATACCACAGACCCGAGCAAATACCGCCCCATCACGTGTCTACCCACCATATATAAGACACTGACATCCATTTTGAGCGCGAGAATCACTCGTCACCTGGAGCTAAACCAGGTGATGTCACGCGCTCAAAATGGATGTCGGGGCGGTGGTCGTAGAACTAAGGAACCACTCCTCATTGACGCGGTTATAGGCAAAGTGGTGAAACGCAACCGTCGGAACTTCTCTGCCGCCTGGATAGACTACAGAAAGGCGTTCGACTCGGTGCCCCATACATGGCTAAAGAGGGTCATCCAGCTGTACAAGATTGACTGTACAATAAGAGACTTCCTCGAGCAGTGTATGGGGCAGTGGAGTACGATCCTTTGTCATCTGGGCGAGCGGATGACGGCTGCGGAGAACCACATAAGGATAAGAAGGGGTATCTTCCAGGGCGATTGTCTGAGTCCAATCTGGTTCTGCCTCTCTCTTAACCCTCTCAGTACCTTACTGGAGGGCTCCAGGAGGGGATTTCAGCTACGGAAAGGAGGGACAAAAGTGACCCACAGACAAAAGTGATATTTTTGGTCGACATTACCATTCCGTATGACGAGAACCTCGTGAAAGCCGAAACAGACAAGCAAACAAAATATCTGGACCTGGCTCACGAGGTGACCGACATGTGGGGTGGTCTGCCGACCGAAATTATTCCTGTAGTTGTCTCTGCAAACGGGCTAATCCCAGTCAGCCTCTCGGATCATCTGAGGCGGCTGGGACTACGTGGCGGACCGCTCCAGGTTCAAATGCAGAAGGCGGTGCTCCTCGATACCGCCCGCATCGTCCGCCGGTTTCTCTCCCCTTCCCCCTAACCCTCGGCCGTTTGGTCTCCCCCTGCCGAGGGCCTCCATCTGGTTGGGCTTTTATTTATTTATGTACTTTTATATTTATTTTATGTTATTGATATTTATGTATATTTATCTTTTCATTTTCATTTATAATTATATATTTATAGAACCCAACCAGATGAGAAAACTATATAGATACCCCATAATAATAATAAACCTTTGGCATACTCAGGTGGACTCAGACTGAGCTTAACGTCCTGGATAGAAAAGTCCGCACTACCATGACGTCCCATAGGATGCATCATCCGAGATCGTCGGTAATGAGGCTGTACTTGCCGCGAAAGTATGGTGGGCGTGGCTTTCTGAGCGCGCTCATCATGCATAATCGCGAAGTGTGCAGTCTCCGTCAATACTTCTTGGCGAGATCGGATGATCCATTCTATAATGACGTCATTTCTAGTGATAAAGGGCTTACCCCTCTATCCTTAGCCAACGAGCAATGGCAGGACCCAGCAGTGCTTAGCATTTCCGACCGGGAGACCGTATGGAAGGAGAAAGAGCTCCACAGGAGGTACTACAAGGCTCTACATGAGCCCTTCGTAGATACAGTCGCCTCCCTCAACTGGCTACGTTTCGGTGACCTCTTCGGGGAAACCGAGGGTTTTGTCTGTGCAATACAGGATCAGGTTATTAAGACCAACAACTATCGGAGATACATCCTAAAGGATGGCACCGTCGACGTCTGTCGAGCTTGTTGCCATCCCGGGGAGTCACTTAGGCATGTCATCTCCGGTTGTTCGGCGCTTTCTAACTCTGAGTACTTGCACAGGCACAACCTAATAGCCAGAATTCTACACCAGGAGCTCGCTCTGAAATACGGTCTCGTGGACCGGAAATTACCGTATTACAAGTACTTGCCGGAAGCCGTGCTCGAAAATGACCGCGCCAGGCTCTACTGGGACCGGGCCATCATCACAGACAGGACTATTCTTGCGAATAAGCCTGATATTGTGCTGATGGACCGGGCACAGTCAAGGATATTTTTGGTCGATATTACCATCCCGTATGACGAGAACCTCGTGAGAGCCGAAACAGATAAGCAATCAAAATATCTGGACCTGGCTCACGAGGTGACCGACATGTGGGGTGGTCTGCCGACCGAAATTATTCCTGTAGTCGTCTCTGCGAATGGGCTAATCCCAGTTAGCCTCTCTGGTCATCTGAGGCGACTGCTCATTCCCAGGGTGCTCATGCTCATCATCATCCATGAATTTCCCTTTTTATACTATCTTTGTACTCGACAGAAAAACTCAGTAACTGATTTAATAGCACGAATTGTCGACGACCGAGTGCTTTCCCATCGACTTGTTTCACTGGCGCTGCGAAGAAACATTGTTGCATCTCTTTACATTTTATTTCGCATCTACCACGGGAAGTGCTCGGAGAAATTGTTCTGATTAATCCCAGCTGCCAAATTTCATGAACGCACTACGTGGCAAACCTCCGTTTCGTTCTGTCGCCGCATAAGACACCCGAGGGAAGCTATGGGGTCGATATTCTTACACCGCCCCTACTCGGTTAGAACCAGGGATGAAATCATTAAATGAATTCCTATTAGTATTAGGTACTTTTATCTAGTGATAGAATCAAGCTGCAACTATATTATGGTTGTAGCACGAATCTGTCTCTTATGTGGTGTGCTTGTTTGTCACCCTTATTCTATAAAATATATAAGCTATGTGCCTCTCCTCGCCACAAAATGTTCACTGTGTTCCAGTGAACCTTTTGTGACGGCGCTGTCGTCACGCCACAAGCGAAACACAGCGAAACATAAATCACGCTATCAAAGTTCCGAATCAATAACAGTATATATAGAATAGCTCTGAAATATCATCACACAGCATTCCGCCTGTGGCATCGCTCTCGAGCGGTCTTGCCCAGGTAGTCCGCGCTCCCGTCCCCGCACGGAAGCGCCCCTCTCGCCCGCGCGCCCCCGCTTCCCCGGCTAACACCGGCCGAGCAGACGCCGTTGGTGAGTTCCTTTGTTTTCGCATCGTTCTGCCCCCCTCGCTCCGGCGGGGAGGTTTGAGCGCGCTTTGCTTGTTTTGTTTTATTTTTAATTTTTCTGTTATTGTTTTATTGTTATACTGTTACTCTGTGTTGTTACTGTTCTTAGAAGATCGTCTCTTGCTCTTCTCAGAGCGAGCCCTTGTTCTTCTCAGAACATAGGGAGCCCAACTTCTCGGAATAGAGCGTCAGTCCTCCCCATCTGCCACCCAAGGCCCTGTTCTTCTCAGAACAGGGACCCTAAATTCTTAGAATAAATCGTCTATAAACTACAGCCCCAACATGTTCACAGTCAGCCAAATTAAGCCCCTCATCGCCTGCCTAAACAAAACTCTTGGTCTGAGCCTAGACTTCAACGAGACGACCCTCGCCGAAATCGCCGCCAAAGCTGAGGCACACCTCCAGGCACAGTACCAACCGCCACCCCTAATCGCGTCCTACATAGAGACACAGAACTCTTTTGCCCCCCCTGGAAATGGAGTACGAACGCTCCGATTCCTCTGCTTTGGCCTCCCGGAAGATCCCGCCACCAATTCTGGCACCCGTTCATCCACTCGTACATCGAGCTGTTCCTCGGACTCATCACAGTCCGATCAATCAGTTATTGATACAACCTCCTTCACGGAAGTGAAATCCAAGCGCGGTTCGAAACGCGCTGCAGCCTCTCGCGCCTCTCGCCCCCGCAGCCCCCGCACCTTCCCGCGCCACTACAGCCCCCGCGCCTGCTCGCTCCACCGCAGCCCCCGTCGCTGCCTCCAAGAAACAGGTCCCGCCCCCTGTCTTCCTCAGCGACAAGGTGCAATTTACTAGACTTTCTAAAGTCTGTTACGGCTTTAAATATAACCAAGCCACCAACCTTGGCGAATCTATTAAAATCGTTACGCAGTCTATGGAAGACTTTAGAAACATCACCAAACTTTTCACATCCGAAGGTGTGCCCTATCACACCTACTCTCTCCCTGAAGAACGTAAAATCAGGGCTGTCCTCCGCGGAGTTCCCTTTGAACTCGCCAACGAGGAAATCCTGGAGGACCTTAAGTCCCAGGGATTCCCAGTTGAGGCTATGCACAAGATGCACAGCAACAGGGGCAAGAAGTACTCGCTTGCCCTCCTCATTTTGTCCAACGTGCCGGAGGCGAAAGACATCTTCCGACAGGTACACACTGTGTGCGGCCTGTCGAGAGTCCTAGTCGAAGCCCCCTATAGGCGCGGTTTTCCATCGCAGTGCCACCTCTGCCAACTCTACGGGCATGCGGCGGCCAACTGCTCAGCCCCTCCCAGGTGCATTAAGTGCCTAGACCCGCACAGCTCGAAAGAGTATCCTCGGCGCCGTGATACCGAGTACCCACCCGCTTGCGTCCTTTGCGGACAGATCGGCCATACGGCCAACTTCAGAGGCTGCCCTCGCGCACCTCGCCCCAATCTCGGCAACAAAGCTGCCAAAAAAGCCCCGCCACCGGTCAATGACCGTACATTCCCGGCCCTCCCATCCAAAATGCCCCCACAGGGCAAATTTCAGTCACCTCAGGACCCATATCGGCCCCCTCAGGAACCCTACCGGCCTCCTCACCTCCGCCCACTAGGGCCCCGACAACAGACGGAACCCTCTTACGCCGATAACGTAGATACAGTATACACTGCTATCCGCAATATCGACGTAAAAAGAGATCGCAATTTTAGCACGCAAACTGCGCGCTTCTCAGTCCCCTCAGGACCGTTTGCTCGCGCTTACCGAGCATCAACACCTTCTGAACTCAATCTAATTAGTCATCCATTCCATATCCATTCGTAAGCTGCCTTAATTAAGCACCAACTCTTTCCAGCGGCTACTCGCCGCTAGCGCCCTCCTTTCACCCAAGGGGGGTCGCTCCGATACGGCACAATAAAGCTTAATCAGCTAGTTGCCAGTCCCTAAAGGCGGTTTTTAGAGGGTATCACTTAGGTTCCCCGGTAGGATGTGAGTCCCTCATAACCACGATAGACCGGCTATCGTGGTATGCGTAATGCGTTTTCCGCCTCCCCTACGTATAGGGTAGCCCTGTAATTGCTTCGGGCGCAAAAAAAAAACGGAGCGTTGGCCGCTCCGCGGGCACCTTGCCCGCGGCAGATCTC